GCACTCTACCCAGGGGGGATAGCTTGAGGCTCTGTCTCAAAAGAAAAGAAAAGAAAAGAAAAGAAAAGTTGGTAGAAGGAAATATCCCATTTACAAAAGCACATTCCCCCCAAACAAAACCTCAAGAAATAAATGCATGAAACTATGTACAATTTATATAAAGAAATCTTGCAAAAGCTGAAGGGTATAAACCATTTCAAATGCAAAGAAAGCCACACCATGTGGCTGGGAAATTTCAACATTAAAAAGATGTAACTATCAATATCATGTGTTGGGGTGTGTGGAAGTGGACCCTCACATGTGCTGGTGGAAAGATAAGATGGCGTGGCCACTCTGACAGCTTGGCAGTTTCTTAAAATGCAAATACAGGCTTGGTGCCTGTAGCTTAAGCAGCTAAGGTGCCAGCCACATACACCAGAGCTGGCGGGTTTGAATCCAGCCTGGGTCTGCCAAACAATAACAACTACAACCAAAAAATAGCCGGGCATTGTGGTGGGTACCTGTAGTCCCAGCTACTTGGGAGGCTGAGGCAAGAGACTCACTTAAACCCAGGAGTTTGAGGTTGCTGTGAGCTGTGATGGAACAACACTCCACCCAGCGTAATAGCTTGAGGCTCTGTCTCAAAAAATAAAAAAAAGGTAAATACAAATTTAACCTATGGCCAGGTAACGCCATTCCTTGTTATCTACCCCAAAGAAATGAAAACATATGGCCTCACATTGAAACTCGTACTCAAATGCCCACTAACTGATGAATAACTGATGCATGAATAAACTGTGTTCTGCTCATTCTATAGAATGCCATTTGGCAATGAAAGGAAAGGAAGTACTGCTACAGTTTAGTTGAACCTCAAAAAAAGGTCACGCTAAGTTAAGAAAGCCAGATGCAAAAGACCACCTAATATAGGATTCCATTTAAAAAAAAAAAAAAAAAGGATTCCATTTGTATGAAGTGTCCAGAAAAGGAAAGCTGATCAAGAAAGAAAGCAGGCTGGTGGTTGGGGTGGGGCTGTGGTAGAAATAGGGAGTGATGGCTCAGCGCCGGTCGCTCAGCAGCTAGGGTACCAGCCACATACACTGGAGCTGGCTGGTTTGAATCCAGCTCGGGCCTGCCAAATAACAATGATGACTACAACCAAAAAAGAAAAAAATAGCCAGGTGTTGTGGCAGGCGCCTGTAGTCCCAGCTACTTGGGAGGTTGAGGCAAGAGAATTGTTTGAGCCCAAGAGTTTGAGGTTGTTGTGACAAAGTGAGACCCTGTCTCAAAAAAAAAAGAGATTCTACAAATGGGAACAGAAATCTTCTTAAGGTGACTGCTGCACAACTCTGCACATTCACAAAACACTGAGATGTACACTTCAAGTGGGTGATTTTAATGATATATAAATAAAGCCATTAAAAAAATAACTTCCTAAATGTAATCCACAAATAACACTATCTCAATAAAAATACCCCAAAGGATATGTGTACTTATGTGAGTACATAATTTTTAACTAGACAAATGGATTATAAAGTTCATTAAATTAGGCTGAGCATGGTGGCTCATACCTGTAAACTCAGCACTTTGGGAGGCTGAGGCAGGAGGATCACATGAGGTCAGGATTTTAAGACCAGACTGGACAACATATCAAGATCCTGTCT